CCAGTGGGTGGTGGGAGTCAAAACGCAAATATTGGTCTGTGTGGGTGGGCTTACGATATACGCCAGTTTCCAACCATATACGCCAGTTGCCTGAAACTCTCAGACTGAAGAAGTCTCTTGGAGGAGAGACGAAACGTTTCATTAGAGAAGAACCCGTCCAGAAGACCTATACAATTTTTTTCTTTTTGATTTTAATGAGGAGTTTTTAATGTCCTTATAAAGAGGAAACCTAAATTATATTTGAAGATTGAGATTTACCAGCTAAAAAGAAACAAAATGTTGCTAGCTCTTTGGGAAAATTTCAAAATTTTAAGGCGTTTTTCCTCAAAATCTGTTTTTTTTGTTGCTACTGATCAAAAAAGTGCTTCAAAATTTTGTTCTATGATTATATTTCAGACAGTTCATTCAAATGATACACTGATAAGGCATTTATTCATTATATTTTGACGAAATGCAATTTTTGTTAACATTTTAGTCAAAACACATTTGCCTTCTCCATACACCACTTTTGGGCTTAATCCTCGTTTTGATGTGATGGGTCACATAAATATATTGTATCACTGCTGCAAAAAGTTGACAAAATCCCAGAGTCATTCCAAATATGTTCACAGCCCTGTTTATTTAATGTCTTYGGTGGTACAAAATGATTGACAGATGTCTTGTCTCAGTTTGCTGCTCTTTGGGGGTAAATTTTGTCAATCCACTCAGGGTCAACCCAAGGCCACAGGCTTTAGCCAATAATGGTTAACACACAATATTGTGCCTTGAGCAGAGCGTGAGCTTATATGGGTGTGGTTTGGTGTAGACTGGTAGGTGATGGTGAACAAGATTACTAAAAATGAGGTGGATTATTTAATTTCTCACCCGACCAAACGATATTCAAATCTAGCCAAAGGAAAAGTGGCAAAACCAAAGTTTTTCTGTGACCTGGTTTCAGCTAAAGGACTGCAAGTGTATCTAACAAGTCTTTTTGTTGTCTCTTTGTTGTTCCTTTTGTTGAAAAAAGACACAATGTCAATTTATAACAGGTTTTCTTTATTTTACAATGAATGCTTCTGCTGTTGGAATCAATCTCCATCCATTATATTTTCTCTGCTTCTTCCTTTCARGGCAGGTGCCCATATCCAGCAGCAGTGCAAGGGGTGGAGTACAACCTGGACAGGTCGCAAGTCCATCCCAGGGACACGTAGAGACAAATGAGACAAACAACCATTCGCTCACACCATGGGGACAATTTGGAGTTACCTATTAGCCTAAAACTCATGTTTTAGGTCTGTGGGAGGAAACCGGAGTACCAGGACCAAACCCAAACATGCACGGAGGGAACATGCAAACTCTACCCAGAAAGGTGCAGGATTCACCATTTCCTGTCAAGCCCTACTTCAAATATTTCTATTTTATTTTAGCTAAATTGTCACAATTTTCCAAAATTTGACTAAAATATCAAATAGTTTCATTGAAATATCACTTACATTGCCCTTTTTTTTTAAAAAGAAATCCTTCTGTAGAGCAGATAATTTGAGATGCAGCAGTGTGGATCAAGAGTGTAGGGGCTGAACAGTTACTCCATCTCTCTCTTTATGATGAATCTAAAAACCTATGATAGCTTTATTACACAAAACTCAAGATATTTCTGCTTTTTTAGGCTTTTTTAGACGAATCATGCAATATTGCCACATGACACGGGGATGATCACATGCCCCTAAAGGCCTGTGCTCGCTGCATTTTTGTACAATCCTGCATCTTTACTGATCCAGTAAAAATGTGTTTAGTCCAGTTTACTAGAGACACATGAGCCTGTAGAGTCTGCTAGTGTTGCTGGGCTAAACTATACCTCAGCACTGTCTGAACAAGTGATACAACTGCTTTATCTTGTCCAAATATGATAAGTGAAATGTTTACAATACATAGCACAGGATGGACACAGAAAGCTTTGTACAATTACATAAAAACACACGTTCAGCCTGTTGTCTAAATCCAAATTTCATTCCTTTGCATTTCAAGAGTGAAAATGTAATTTAAGAGAGCTAGGCTTCTCTGCAGCACCAGATAGTACACTGTGCTGCTCCATTTAATAAAAAGACCATTACAGTTCATTCCTTCAACAAGAGCTCACATTCACCTGGGAATATTCTTCAGGAGGGAGATGCTGAGAAGCTAAAAGGTTCAGACGTGCTGATAAGAGGCATAACGGTGTTCTCAGACCAGAGTTTGATGCAAATAGAGGACTTTTAAGAAGAAAAGCACACTTTGCTAAATTGCATCTTTCTGTTAATAAATGATATAAAAAGACAAAAAGGTGCCATTTGCCCTTAAGATAATTTGCATTATTTAATAATAGTATTTTTTCTAAGTGCATAGCATCATAGCTTGTCTGGAAG